TCTCCCTCTCGAGGCTGTGGACGCGCCACCGAAAGCGCCGGGAGGGAACCTGCGCCTTTCCCCCTCCCTGCGGACAGCAGTGGAACAACAGAGCTTAGGGAAGTTGAGGCGGGCAGGGAGTGCCCAGGTGTTGAGGAGCGTTGAGCTGGAGAGTTGTTTTGACATTTCTGGGACCTGACCTCATTTTGCGGCACCTCCTTTCTGTCCCCAGAGTTCATTTCCAGTTAAAAACAAGGAAAATGGTAAGGCTCAACCTTGAGCTCCTAATGTGTGCTAGGTACTTTGCATGTATTCTCATCAAATCTTCACAACTTCATTGGGTTATTTGTCCTATTTACAGAGAAGAAAACTGAGGCCCAGAGGGGGTTACTTACCCAGAGCAACACAGCTGACTAATGACTAGGCTAGACCCCAGGTCTGTGTGCCCCAAAGGTTGACTGCAGCCTTAACCTGTTGGGAATGGGGCCCTGGACTAGGAGAAAGGAGAGCTTCTTCCGTCTAGCTGATAAGGCTGTACAAAAACACCCAGAACAGTTTCCGTGGTCATGTTTAAGCAACTCAGCTTATTAGGCATGAAAACTTTTCAGGCTAGTCCATCTGTTGTATCAGCAGGACTTGACTGGAGCTAGAGCTCAGGTCAAGGCCTTCTCAGGTATCTGAAAATCTAGTCCTCCAGGATTGGGGGGGGGGAGCACAAAAAAGAAACTGGGGGTTTGAGGAGGGAATCCTCATTGCTGAGGCAATCAGGGCCACTGCAGGCTAATGTCAGCTCCTGCAAATGTGCAATTGTTCAGGGATGAGAGAAGCAGTAGAAACTGCTTCTGCAACACCCATCTGGTGACCAGAACTTTAGATGAGACATATATCCAGATGCCAGTCTCCTCCTGCCTTTCAAGAGAGACAGAAGTGGACTGTAGAAGTGAGAATTTATATATAACGAGGCAGAGGCTGCTGGCCTTTGACTAGAGAGGGGTGAACACTGAGCCCACCTTAGTGGGTAGTCAGAGATGTTAATGAAGCAGCACAGAGTACCAGGGCTACAGGGGTAGGCTATGGGCCGTGTTAGGTTAAGCGGGACACTTAAAGCCAGCCTGCCTTGAGACGTGTTCTCTAAAACTCTACTGGTACGGGAAGCAGGACCCAGTGCCACTCAGTTTCAAAGACTCCACGTGAAGGAATTAGGATGCAAGCAGTCTGATCCAGCCGGACTGGCACGCCTGTAGGTATGGTAAGTAGAATCTACGCAGTCCACCTGAAACGAAATGCCACTGGGTAGCTGCTGATGTTAAATCTTTAAAAGGGAAAGTAACAATTTCAAACCAAATAAAATTAGAAGCTAGGAATATAGGAAAGGTATAAAAGACTGTTTAAAAAGTCTTGGGAATCCCCAAATGTACTCAATAGAAAAATTTCAGGTGAAAGAACAAAAAGTCAAAATGAATTAACTAACAAAAGAGGCCTCCAGAGAGAAAAATGAAAAAAAAGCAAATGGAATTTCTGAGGAAACCAAGGGTGGAATTGTAGAAATGTTCAAATTGGGCAAGCAGAAAACTGGCAGGTCGGGGTGACTTCTGCCCGACTCTGGAGGAGGCCCACAAATAGCGGTTCTCACTCCTTCACAGGACAATTTTGGTAGAGACCAGAAACTAGAGACAGACTCATGACATAATTGAGAAGACCTAACATGAGGAGAAGGCAACATGATTTCTAAAAGGAAAAGTGATATCTGAAGCCCTAGAGGAATCAGAGATAAAGTCTGGGCTTCAGTCAAGTTGGCCTGGGTTGGAATCCTAACTTTGCCTCTTAAGAACTGTAGGGCCACAGGAAACTCATTAATCTATTCAAACCTCAGTCTTCCCATCTGAAAAATAAAGACAACTTTACATGGCTGTTTTAAGGATGATATGCTAGTGTGTAGCACAGATAAGAGATTAGCAGGCACTTCTCTAAATAAAATCTAAAGTTCACACTTTTAAAGATTGATTTGGAAATGAGAAATGGATAAAAATGGCAGGTAACATGTTTACATAAGGCAGTCTTTAGAGAAAAATAATCCAACTGTATTTTAAGTTAATGAGCTATCTTTCCCATCTTAATTCCCGCAGCACTGTCTGTACCACTCAGTTTGCTCTAACCCGCACAGAACTTCCTATTCGATCATCTTTTTGCTCACATTTAGTCTCCCTGACCAGATTATAAACTGCTCAGGTAAACACTGTTGCCAAACTATCAATTACAGTCCAGATCTTGAGTCACTGTCAACAGGTCCCTGAAGACCTGATAGTCACGGGTGCCAAAATAAAGGTAGCCAGCATTAGGGTACAGAAACCAAGAGTAAACCTAATCGTACCCTTGCCCAGAGCTGTGGTTTGGCTGCAAATGGGATAATGTCTGTGGTTTTGGCTGCTTGCACTTCAAGACTGACATCAGAAAGCTGCAGAGAAACAGCTCAATTTCCAAGTGGGTGGAAGTGGTTTCCTGAGAACAGGATGAAAACACGGGGATTCCAAGGTTTGACAAGGTGAAGGCAGAGGAAGGATACACTCTAACCTGCAAAACCTTTACATTACAATATTGCATTGCCATGGGCTTGTTCCTCCCAGTCAGAACATTATAAGCAGGCAGCATCCTTCTTGAAAAGTCTTAAGACAAAATACTACTTGGAATACTGCATGGAACCTGCCCAAAGGCAGGAAACAGAAGCACGAAAATAGTATAGTCAGCCTGACCAACACATTCACTGGCAAACACACCCGAGATGAACAGAGTCTGGGGAGACTGTGGCTACTTAGGAGACCTTTCTGGCAGTTAAGTGGTTATATGAAGCAGAACCTCTCCTTGCCCAAGCCCCTCCATTGCCTGGTAGGAACAGCCAGCTAGGTGTTGACCTGTGTGTTCCCTCTACCTCCCCTCTCATCCCTCCCTCTTTTCCTTTGACAATGACAGCGGTGTTGGGGGCAGAGATGGACACCAGGTAAGCAAAATTGAAGGAAATAAATGGGTCATGCACTCTGAAGGGAGACCTGATGCTGAAAGTTCAAGAAACCAAGGTGGACATGTTTTTACATCTTGATCTGGGTGGTGACTACACGGGATCATACATATGTAAAAATTCAGAGCCGCTCACTTAAGATCTGTGCATCTTACTTATATACTCTACCCCTCCATGAGACACCAAAACCAAACAACTAGCAGCCACAAGCTCCCTCTGTTTGCTATCCTTTATTGAAGGGTCCCACATCCTCATGTGACCCCAGCCAAACCAGAAACCAGACAGGTCCTCCATTTATAGCAGGAGGACTGGAAGGGGAGGGGAATGACTTATGATCTGGCCACACCTCCCTGGAAACAGAAACCACCACAGACAGACAGACAAGGGCTGGGGAAGAGAACTTGCCTCACTCTATGTTCTCTCCCTGTTGCCCCCACTTGAAAAGAAAGTCAAACACTGGCTACACAGCATCCCAGCCCCCACCCCACCCATAGCAGCGTTTGTGGGACTCCCCTCTGCAAGGGGCGGCCCCAGGCAGCTTCCCATCGCTCTTCCTTCACTTTGGTTTGCTCCTGGCAACTCCGTGCCCTCTTCCTTCCTTCAGCCTCCAGCCCCTCACTCACCCATCACTCCCAAGTCATCTAGCACCTACTCGAACCTTCTCTCTCATCTCTAGGGCCTCCCTGCCCCAGGGCTTCTGGGGAAGCAGCATCTCAGGCATCTTCTCTCCTCCCAGCAAGGGGCCCCAGCCAGGCCCTCTCTGCCCAGGATGTGGGACTCACACAGCTGCCCCACTCTCCTTGAGGTCAGGGGCTGAGCGCTGCCGTCTCATTCTCGGGGGAGTAGTGTAAGGGGGGTAGCGGGGCCCTGGGGGCCGTTGGGCTGGGTATGGTTGGGGCTGCTGGGGATAATAATTGTGCTTTTTAGGCTGGAAGTGCTGGGGTTCAGGCTGCCCAGAACCTCCTCCCCGAGATCGGCCCCCTCCATCCAGGGAGTTCCTGCGGGGACGGTGGGACCTTCGGGGACTTGGGGGCCTGCGGGCAGGGGCAGGGGCAGGGGTGGCCAGTGGGGGAGTAACCTCCTCAGGGGGTTGGGGTGGAGCTGGGGCTTCCCCGCTGCCCATCCCTGGCCAGGACTCCCGGTGCTGGGGGTTGCTCTTGAAGGGGAATCGCAGCTTACAGTCGTGAGGGGGCACAAAGCGGGCTGGGGGCCTGCGTAGTCCCCCACCCCGGCCCCCAGAGCCCTGCAGTCCTTGCAGCCGCAGCTGCTCCTGCTTGAGCCAGCGAAGGCGGCCACGACGAAAGGCAGGGTCCTCCTCCATGAGCCGTGACACCCGCTCCCAGCTTGACAGGGGTGGTGAAGTAGACCGGGCTGAGGGCACGTGGTCACTGGGGACTTCGTCCTGTACCACCTCTGACCCTGGGGGCATGGCCCAGGTGGCCTCACTGGCTTCTTCACTCTCATCCTCGTGATCCTGGGAGGGGAGGGGAGAGACAAGGAGTGTGAGAAGAGCTGAGTCTCCTGAGCACAGCAGACTTGGGAGAAGTCAGAAGGCCCTGCAGCGGCCAGAGGGGTTCAGAGATAAGGGAGCTAGAATAGTGGTTGAGGAGCACAGGCCCGGGAGCCAGGCGGTCTGAGCTGAATCCTGGTATGCCACTGCACAGCTGTGTGCTCTGGAACTTTGGTTTGTGAACTCTCTGTGTTCAGTCTCTTCATGGGTGAGACAAGGTCAACAATAATAGCAGCTACTGCATAAGGTTGTTCTAAGAATTAAATAAACTAAGCTATGTAAAGGTTTTAGAACAGTGCCTGATACATAGTGGGCGCTCAGCAAATAGTGCTGAGTAAATGATGTGCCCTGGGGATATGACAGTCAACAAAAAGGGAAGAAAAATACTTGCCAACATTTTAGTAGAGTGAGACCATTGATAAATGAATAAGAAAAATATATAGTATGTACAGTACCATACTTCAATAAAAAGTTAAATATAAGTATATAGATTTAAATAATATTTAAATGATATTTAAATGATGTATATATTATTCTCATTATATAGGAGTACATAAACCTTATATATTTTATATAAATTATACATATTGAGCTGGAGAAGACCAGAACAAGGAAGGAGGATGGGAGGCCAGGGTCAGCTAGCTTCAGTGAATCGCCAGAAAGGGACTCACTGAGAAGTTGTCCTTGTAGGAAACACCTGAAGGAAGTGAGGGGCAAGCTGCGAGACTTTCAGCAGGAAAGGCATCTAGCTGGAGAGAACAGCAGGTGCAGAGGCCCTGAGGCAGGAGTATGCCCAAGTTCAAGGAACAGCAAGGAAGCTGGAGTGGCAGGAGTGGAGAATGCGAGAGGAAGAAGCTGCGTGTGGAGCAGCCAGCCTCCAGCGACCACGAGCNTTCCCCGCTGCCCATCCCTGGCCAGGACTCCCGGTGCTGGGGGTTGCTCTTGAAGGGGAATCGCAGCTTACAGTCGTGAGGGGGCACAAAGCGGGCTGGGGGCCTGCGTAGTCCCCCACCCCGGCCCCCAGAGCCCTGCAGTCCTTGCAGCCGCAGCTGCTCCTGCTTGAGCCAGCGAAGGCGGCCACGACGAAAGGCAGGGTCCTCCTCCATGAGCCGTGACACCCGCTCCCAGCTTGACAGGGGTGGTGAAGTAGACCGGGCTGAGGGCACGTGGTCACTGGGGACTTCGTCCTGTACCACCTCTGACCCTGGGGGCATGGCCCAGGTGGCCTCACTGGCTTCTTCACTCTCATCCTCGTGATCCTGGGAGGGGAGGGGAGAGACAAGGAGTGTGAGAAGAGCTGAGTCTCCTGAGCACAGCAGACTTGGGAGAAGTCAGAAGGCCCTGCAGCGGCCAGAGGGGTTCAGAGATAAGGGAGCTAGAATAGTGGTTGAGGAGCACAGGCCCGGGAGCCAGGCGGTCTGAGCTGAATCCTGGTATGCCACTGCACAGCTGTGTGCTCTGGAACTTTGGTTTGTGAACTCTCTGTGTTCAGTCTCTTCATGGGTGAGACAAGGTCAACAATAATAGCAGCTACTGCATAAGGTTGTTCTAAGAATTAAATAAACTAAGCTATGTAAAGGTTTTAGAACAGTGCCTGATACATAGTGGGCGCTCAGCAAATAGTGCTGAGTAAATGATGTGCCCTGGGGATATGACAGTCAACAAAAAGGGAAGAAAAATACTTGCCAACATTTTAGTAGAGTGAGACCATTGATAAATGAATAAGAAAAATATATAGTATGTACAGTACCATACTTCAATAAAAAGTTAAATATAAGTATATAGATTTAAATAATATTTAAATGATATTTAAATGATGTATATATTATTCTCATTATATAGGAGTACATAAACCTTATATATTTTATATAAATTATACATATTGAGCTGGAGAAGACCAGAACAAGGAAGGAGGATGGGAGGCCAGGGTCAGCTAGCTTCAGTGAATCGCCAGAAAGGGACTCACTGAGAAGTTGTCCTTGTAGGAAACACCTGAAGGAAGTGAGGGGCAAGCTGCGAGACTTTCAGCAGGAAAGGCATCTAGCTGGAGAGAACAGCAGGTGCAGAGGCCCTGAGGCAGGAGTATGCCCAAGTTCAAGGAACAGCAAGGAAGCTGGAGTGGCAGGAGTGGAGAATGCGAGAGGAAGAAGCTGCGTGTGGAGCAGCCAGCCTCCAGCGACCACGAGCCGCTGTGGCTGGCCGCCTGCTGTCCCCCGGCAGATGAGCGAAAGCAGAGCAGCAACTCTGACCTCTGTAGCCCAGGCGGCTAGCACGATGCCTGGCACACAGCAAGCACTCAAATATTTGTTTGTTGAGAGAATGCATACAAACCAGGGATCAGTGATAACGCTGCCACTCACAGGGCTACTGTGAGGATCATGTGGGGTAACACAGGAAAAGTGCTCAGCACAGCGACTGCCAGAATAAATGGTCCCCATGGAGAGAGGAGGGCATGAGTATGCGCATACGTGAACATTCATCAAGCAGTAACTTAAGAATGGTGCACTTTACATCAGTGTTTCACAAGCCTGACTGTACCGCAGAAACACCGGGGTACTTATCATAAATGTAGATTCAACCCCAAAGATGCTGACTCAGAAGGTCTGAGGCAGAACCCAGGAATCTGCATTTCAGTTAGTGCTCTGGTGATCGAGGTATATAATTCACAAACTACACTGAGAAAAGTCTACTACACGTCAGTCAATTTTTGAAAGCAAGAAGAAGAAGGAGGTTACAGGGAGATTCAGATTCTGAAAGGGAGTAACTGAGGCAGGAGAAAGCGGGCCAAGGCCCTCAGTACCTGGGTCAGGGGGATGACCCTCTCCATGCGGAGCATGCGGTCCCTCAGGGCCTGCAGCTCTCGGTCCTTGCTGCTGTTCTGGAGCTTCACCTCCTGCAGAATCCCGGTCAGCTTGTCGATGTGAGCCCGGAGGTCCTCCACCTCAGCCCCGCGGGCTCCCTCCTCACCACCGCCACCCCCACCTCCGCTGCCTTCCTCCTCGCCCACTGTGTCCCAGACATCCCGGGCCACGGCCCTCCAGGCGTCCCCGGGACCCTCCGGCTTGCCATAGGTACGACACAGCTCCCGCATCTTGAGGGCAGCCAGGGCCTCAATCTCAGCCCGCCCGTGGCGGAAGTCAGCCAGGGCCACCTCGTAGCAGATCTCCTTCACTGCCTGCATCTTCAGATCAGCCATGGTGGCCCAGCGGGGGTCTTTGCCCTGCAGCCGCCGACGCTGAGGAATCTGATACACCCTGCGTGGGGCCCTGCGCTTGCCACTGCTGGGCAGGCCACAGCGCTTGACAATGGTCTGGACTGTGGTGGGTGGCAGCTGCTCCCGCAAAGAGGAAATGAGCCTCCAGCTCTCTTCACAGGAGCGCTTGTCAGAGTCGTCCCCACTGTCAGAGTCGGCATACTGGGGCCAGAGAGAGAGAAAACAGGGAGAAGGGTAAGGACATCCCAAAGCCCTTGAGTCTCAACATCGGAAGCACCCATCACAACCGGCACCCTTGGGTGAGCTGCTTAATCTCTGCTCGTTCACACAACAGAAATGACACCACTATCTCCCTCACAGGTACACTTTGGGTGGCTGGCAGAGAAAGTGACCAATAAGTATAAGCTGCAGCTACAGCGAGTCTAGATTTCTTGCATATGTGTTACCACTCAGGATGAGGTTCAAGATTTAAAAGTCCACGTAAAGAACAATCTTAAATAAATACTAGCGCAAGTGGTACTTGGCTATGGTAAAAATCATAAAGGTGTCACAGGATCAACTGGAGCCTGGGAAGCCCTGGGAGGAACTCTAGTTCCCTGCACACAGTGTTCTCCCCAGGTCACATTTCTCTTACAACCGGCTCCCCCTACATGCCATCCTCACCCTCGTCCCTATGCCCACTCCCCCCTCTGGCTCACAGTGTGAACCAAAAGCAGAGTCAGGCTGCAGCGCTCCTGTGCCGCCAGCCCACCTCCTGCCGCTGCATGCCCCACCTGCCCAGCCGACTCCTCACCAGGCGCTGCTGCTCCAGCAGAAGATCAGCCTCTTCCTTCTCTTTCCGGTACTGATTCTCCAGATCCTGCAGCCTGGGATTATGGAGGGAGTGAGGAATAGCTGTGTGGGATTCTGGAGCCACCTCAATGGGGTATCCGACAACAGGATGCTGGGGCTGAGGGCCTGGGGACCTGGGAGGGATAGCCTAGAGGGCGGGGGCACAGAGCACCCTCTCTTCGCACCTCTTCTCCATCTCCAGCTTGATGTCAATCCCTTGCTGCTCCAGCAGTTCTTTCTGGGCAAAGTTCCAGTCCACAGGCTCAGAGGGTGGTCCTGGGGGTGGGGGAACCCCTCGCTCCCGTTCCAGCCGTGCCTGCTCCGGGTGATTGAAGCGGAAAACGTGGTTCTTGCCCATCACAATCCTATTCCCTAGAGATGGGAGGAGGGGAAAGTGGACTCGCTCCCCCATAGCAGCAAACTCATCCCCATGCCCAAGGTGTACAGGGTCTTGTCCACAGTCCCCTGACATCAGTTCTCTCATCACACCAAGTCTGAAGGTGGTCTAAGCCAAGGCTCCTCCGGCTGACACCAGGAGCCACCCCGTCCCTGACAGCCAAAGGGGACTGGAGGAGTTTGGCACCCTCTTCCTGTTTTCCCAGGACAGCAAGAGAAACCAAAACCTGACTCCTTGATCTTCACTCCCCAGTTCCTTCTTCATGTCCCCATGCTGCTTCCTATTTATTTCTTAGGGTGCTGCCCTAAGATTCACCAAGGAAGCTCTGCCCTAGCACTTCCTGTGCACAGCCATGTCCAGCACCCTCACTCTGTAACACTTCCTCTACCTGACTTCAGCACCAGTGGCTCGGTCACCAGTTTCCCATTGACATAAGTCTCAGCTCCTTCACAAGGCTCCAGGGTGACCACCACTGAGGGAGAAAGAAAAAGGAAAGGAAGCAATTAGGTCCTGGGGGTGGGAGGTTTATGGTCATACTCTCATCTTGCATTACCCCCAAAAACACATGCACCCCCAGTCCCACCCCCCAGTACCTGTTAGGGGTGCCATGGCCCCTCTGGTGGCAGGCAGCAAGGGAAAGGAAGAGCAGAAGGAGGATTAGAGCCCCAGCTAAAATTCCCAGGAGCCTCTGCAGGGGCTCTGTACTCACCGACCACCATCCTGCCCACAGCAGCTTAGCAAACCAGTAATTCTCAGGGGCTTCATCTCATAGCCAACTGGTCATCAGGCCCTGTCATTTCTGCCTTCCAGGTGTCCATTCCATTCCTTCCAACTAGCATTTTCCCTGGCTAGGCCTGGATTCTTCTAGCAGGTTCCTAGCCCACTTCTGTCTAATGCATCCTACAAAACGCCACCAGACTAATCTTCTCAAGCCACAGCTAACAAACAGATCATTGTCTTCACAGAACAAGATAAAGTCAACCCAACCCAAACATTTACCGAGGTGCTCCTCTGAACAAATCACCAAGCCTACTGCTTGCTGAGACACAAAGATGCATGCGGCAGCTTCCTGTCCTTGAGGAGCAGTGCTTGATGTCAGAGAGAGAGAGCCCTGTATCCCAAAAATACAGGCTCTGTGACTCCTTAGCTGAGGGACACTGAACAAGTCACCCAACTTCTGTGAGATATAAAATGGAATCATGCCCAGCTGGTGTGGCTCAGAGGTTTAGCGTCAACCCATGCACCAGGAGGTCCTGTTTCGATTCCCGGTCAGGGCACATACCCAGGTTGAACTCAATGCCCAGTGGGGGACACGCAGGAGGCAGCTGATCAATGTTGATGTCGACGTTCTATCTCTCTCTCCCTCTCCCTTCCTCTCTCTCCAAAATCAATAAAAACATTAAAAAAAAGCATTGGTCTCACATTAAAAAAAAAAAAAAAAAAAAGGAGCATGAAAGACTTCCCATTCTATAGCTCATAGAAGTTAGCTCAGAGTGGTTGAAAGCCGAAATAAAGTGATATGTGAAAATGAGTTACTATTTATGCTAGAAGTAAGAGAACCCAGAATGAATTAGATAAGGCAGAGATGGGAATACTGACGCTACGGGAATACAAAGAAAGCAGAGAGCAGCTCAGTTTGGCCACAGAGGACGAGAAACGATTATGGGAAAGCAGCAGTTTCTGAGCCAATGCTTGAAGGGAGCCTCACATTTGAAGGTGAAGAAATGATAGAAAAGAGAAAAAAGAAAGAAAGAGCTAAGGCATCACCGTATTCTCCAAAACAGCAATGAAAGGCGGCAATAGAGGAGAGCATGGTGTGCCTGTAATGGGTACCGGTCTACGCCCACCCTTACTCCCTGTCATGCCCCAAAATTCATTCATCTGTTCCACAAGTATACTGCATCCTTACTATTTTCCAGGAACTATTGGAAGTCATGGAAATAGTAGAAATAAAACCCCAAATCCTTGCTCTTACAGAGCTCACTTCCAGCAGGTAAGACAGAGAGCAAATGAGTAAGTCAGGAGGTAACCTAAAGTCAGGAAGATAAGTGTTACGGAGGGAAATGGGGTCAGGCAAGGAGAGGAGTTTGCCCCACCTGCCAGGACAGCCTTCTCCATGTTCACAGCAATCCATACTAAGGCAGCCCATAGCAGAGCTCAGAGCACAGCCCTGGAGCCTGACATGCTATATTCAAACCCAGTTCTGCCATCTTCTAGCTATACTGGTGTTGGGCAAATTCCCTAATCCGAGAGCCTCAGTTCTCTCACCAGAACTGCATGAGAAAAAGCAAAGGCACAAAGTAGATGGTCAGTGATAACTATTCTAGGTTCGCACCCATCTCCTCTGTCAGTCTTTGGTCAAGTCTTCAATCTGCTATAGGAACAGAGGCCCAAATCGACTGAATCTTTAGAGGCCCCGATCTCTGAGGCTCTACTGATGGGGCTCATCAGCGCTTTTATTGATGCAATGGTTTTTCATGACCATCTGTCATCTCTCAAAACACACTCTGAGCTCCTGAGGGTGGGCTCACTCCTCGGCCCTTGGATGATTTTGGTATCACCCCAGCACATGACTTAAGGTAACAGCAGAACAGGAACTCGGCAATAACTCCCTGGGCTGAACTGATTCAACAGCTTTAGCCCACACTGCCAGAAGCATTTGCTGCCACTGAGGACCTGAACCAGACCAGAATGATGGCATTAATCTGCTGACCCTGACTTGACTTGGGGTCAATACAATATACAGGTGATGTACTGTAGAACTGACTACCTGAAACCTATATAATTCTATTAATCAATGTTACCCCAATAAATTCAATTTAAAAAAATAAAAATAATCTGCTGACCCTAATCAACTGAAGCCCAACAGGCATGTCTTAAACCTGAGCTGTAAGCCACACAATAGTGTCTTTTCTTATTTTTAAAAACGTGCTGAGGTAGCATGCCCCATCCCCCTGTGCCCTCAAAAGCATCAGACTAGGCACTGTTTTCAGCTTTGTGAGACACAAGGCATGAGTTCAAGGTGATGAATAGCTCATGTGTAACATCTGCCACCCTGCCCAGCACATTTCCTACAGCTCAACTTCACTTGGGACTAACTGAACACAAATCATTGATTTTTTAAAAAATGATCGAGAACAAAATGGTGACCCCGAAATATACCCTGAACCCCAAGAGTACTGTTTTGTTGATGTCAGACAGGCTACTACCTTCACCCTTAGGGCTTGTGACTCTTAAGACCTTTTGCAGCTATGGCCATACAGGGGCTAAAAATCTCTGAAAGTTTTCAATCAGAGGATTACATGGGCCAATTAACTCCCTGAAAGCAATGCAGTCATAGCTGCATAGATAAGCGGTTTTCCAGAGATAAATTCAGGTAGCCCACTGGAGCAAATACAATTTTTCATAAAAAATGACCAGGGTGTTGTTTTAGGATAAAAAGTCAAGGAAGAAGGCAGACCTCTCTTCACCAAAATTTCACCCACTGGCATGCCAATGGTCTGTTTCTCACTGTCCCTTGCAGCAGTCTCAGGGTGGGTGCAGACAGCTGGCCCTTGATATTCCCCCACTGCTTACCATAAGCTCAAAGCCCCTATGAGGGTGAGGACACATGTTCTCATACACGGCTGCACACCCAGTGCCCAATTCAGTGTGTGAAACATGGGACCTGTCTCTCTCCTTGTCTGGTCATTCCACTCTCACTCCCTCAGCCATTACCTTCTCCATCCGGCTGAGCGATGCTCCGGAACAGACAGTGTTGCTCCCGAATGAACTTCCCGGTCAGCTTGATGTCCACATCTACCTGGCCGACCCTGGGAAAGCAATGGCCAATATTTCCTAAGCAGGTGGCAGATATTCACCAAGCCCCTTCTGAATACAAGTTCATCCACTCTATAAGCCAGACATAATTATTTCTGCTTCACAGATGAGGAAGCTGAGGCTCAGAAAGGTAAAGTAACTTGCCCAAGGTCACACAGCCCAGCAGTGGTGAGGCTGGGATTTGAACCCAGATCTGCCTGACTCCAAAGCCCCTGTCCTTAGTCACTGTGTTATACACCAGAGGTAGAAAGGGAACCTGGAGCTGGATGGGCGCCCTCCGCCGTGGGTCTCCCACCCATCCTTAGAGCTGATCACCCCAAGGGCTCATTCCCTACCAAGGACAGCTAGTAAATGCCTGTGGTGGGACAGAAAGGGGCATCCTCTCCTCTAACTACAGCAGGTGACTTCAGAGGCACCGAGCCTCAGGGATACATGTTAGCATTAGCCAGTAAAGCCACCCGCAGCATAGGCACTGCCCATAAACAACATGGGCCTGGGACCACGACTGCCTCCACCCCACAAGAATGGCGGTGGTGCTAAGGGCTGAGAATGTGGTGTCTAGATTTCCAACACACTTTTATGTTCCAGTAAATCACGAGCTATCCCCACAAGCACTGGGTCAGCTTGGTCCCAGGAGGCATCTTAGCCAAACCAAAGTGGTGGGTGAGGCAGGACAGCTGCTTAGCAGCCAGGCTCAGCAACTTCTCAGGAAGCCTAGAAAGTGAGCGGAACTGTGGAGTCAGCTGTCCTGACATCTGGGGTGTTTCTAGTGAGGTCACAAGGAAAGGTAGTCACTAGTTGTGGCCGTCCCTCTGCAATCACGCCCCAAATTGAGAGGATGCTCACAGGCCACTGAGTAAACGCTACCTGGTGATGCCATCTTTGATGTGGTAGAGCAGACATTCCGACATCAAGGGGTCTTCATTCAGGTTCACCAGGTGGGGAGTCTGTGGGAAAGTGGGTTTTCAGGGGAGGGATCCTGAGAGCCAGCCAGGGGGGTACCACAGGGGAGGGAAGGAGCCTCAACAGATATCCCTCCAGGTTCCAGCACTGAGGGCTGCTCTCCCTCCCCTCACTAGAAGAATTCTTCCCCTCTCCTTACTCCCACTTACTCCAACCACTTTCAGGACAGCCTAACCCACCCTCTCCTCACACATAAGAAACCTACAAAATAACCCACCCTTCTACCCCTTTCCAGGTCAGCAACCCTTCCTAAGGTCCCATTTCTTCAGAGGCACCTCAACCCACCCATCTCCTTGACCAGAAACCTTAGAACCTGTCTACCCTCACCTCTGCTTTCCCTGTACTCCCTCTGTCCCCAAGTCTCATCATCCCTTCCTTCAAAATGTATCTTGACACATCTGGAGAGTACAAGAGGGGACTGGGTTAGGGACCTGGTACTTCCCACCTTTTATTCCAGCTTCAATTTCTTAGGAGCATGGATTACTTTTACAATTATAATTTAAAAATACAAAGTGTCAGTTCAGTTCAAAAGTATATAAAACAGACCTGTTTTTCCCATCAGATCTCCCACTCTTCCCCGCCACTGCCTATTCCCAGCCCTACTTTACATGGGGCCAGGGTCACTGCAGCAGCTGCCTGTTGCTGTCCCTGTCGAGGCCTCCCTGACCAGATCCACCCACCTAACTGGCTGATCATTATGCTGCTCCACACTGAAAACTCAGCCCATTCCCTTCCCCCAAAGCCCCTTGTCCTGACTTGTTTGTCTAGCGTCCCCCTTAGACATGTAACTCTGGGAAGTATATAAGCCTTGTTCCTTCTATACCCCCCTCAGGCCACTACTGCCAGTCTCCCTCCCTACCATCTGCTGCCTCGGCCCACCCTGCTGCAGACCTGTCTGACTTCCTGCCATCTCCAGGGGTATCCTAGCTTTCCTGCTCATACCACACCATGGCCGTGCCACACTTCTCTACTCAGACCTCTCCAGCTGGCACCCCATGCCCACGTGACTTAAGCCTTTTTATGCTGGTATCCCTGGGCCTCATCCATATCAGGGCCCCAGCCCACCTATCCAAACCCCTTACTGGGACCCTTCTCTCCCCTTCTGTGTTCCCACCCAGTGGACTGCTGAGCACTCATTCCAAAAGACCTCCTCCATCCCTGACCACCCCTGGGAGCTGCTCCCCATGTTCTCTCACCTGGAACAGCCTCCCTCCCAGCCCCACCCCTATCCCCACCTGTCAAAATCATCTACTTCCCTCACAGTCTGTCTCAAATGCCATTTCCTCCACAAAACTTTCCCATCTTCCAACTGAAGTCAAGATCCTCTGCCTCCTTTCTACAAGGATTTACTTTCTAAACACCCTGTGAGGTGCTAGGTGGGACACAGAGATGAATCAAACCCCGACGCTGCTGTCCTGTCAGCAAGGAAATCAGAGTCAACTTGGGGAGATAAGACTTGGCAAAGTTACAAGTGGGAAACGGATGCCTCACAGTAGAGTTTCTGATCTTTTCACACTTTCCCTTAGCTCATTAACTCATTCACTCATATGTTCCCAGGAGTTGAGTGCCACCATATCCTGGGGGGGG